TATTAATTTGTAAGAATATTGATTTTCTATATATTGTGGACGTTAGCCGTTCAGAAGAACGTTACCAAGTCTAGCCACGAGGAGGCCTCCACTTTGTAGACTCACCCCCAGACCCCAACGCTGAAAAAAAAAGAACATTAGTTTCAATAATATTAAAAGTTACCAACATAAAAGATGACACCACGGGAGAGATCAACACATCTGATAAAAACCAAAACGACAGGAATGACCGACACCAGAGATACTAGCCTATGTTAGTTTTAATAATATGAAAGATTACCAAAAACTCCAAGACGAAAGACGACACCACGGGAGAGTTCAACACATCAGAAAAAAACCAAAGACCAAACTATTGATACTAGCAAATGTTAGTCTAGTTCCGAAACTATTAAAATTAAACGTGCGTTGATATATACCCATAAAAAAAAATAGAAAAAATTAAAGAAAAGAAAAAGATGAAAAAAATTTTTTTTTCTCATTTTAAAATCCAAGCCAGGGTGTGACTTTCTTTAAAAAAAATTTCGATGACATTCTTTTCTGAAAACGGAAAAAAAATGAAGAAACGTCATTAAAACACAAGAGAGTTCTACAATATAGAAAATACGAATTATATGAAAACGATAGGTGGTTTTAATCTATTTTGACCGGTAATAAGGATTAATTTAATGCCACTATTTATTAAGCGTATCATCTTTGCCAAAGATCACACCGGTTTTTCGGGATGAGACCTTTTTAGGGGAATGCCAAATCCCTACGGTCGCCTCTGTAAACCTTGTTTTACCTTTGTTTTTTCCCTTTTTGTGTTGTATATTGGCTTTTGCCTTTCAGTTAAAGTAACCAGGAGGGAACAACGCATGCTTCTTTCTTTGAAATTAGCTTTTCATACATGGATGTAATCGTTTCAAGAGTGGTTTTTAAAGAAATCTGAATGTCATAAACTCATTTCATCATGTCTTGTCATTATTTCTTGTGAAATCATTCCGCTATAACTATAATCGGACCATCTTGCATGACATCGCTCTCTCTGTGAAACTATTTCGAAATATGCCTCCTAAATCTTGTCTGACTCAATGTTTCTGATGATATGTAACTTGCAGTTGAAGACTAGTCTTTTCTGCTTTGACCAAAGCCAAATACTTTTGGAATCAATAACTAATCAATGTCAACGTAATCCGACCTGCGCTTACTCGTCAAATGTTCAAAACTCTTATATGTTGATGATACCTGTGAATATGACTAACTTTGTCTGAACCTATCATATGAACAGCATGGTATTTTATTTTGTGCGATATCTAGCATAAAAGAGTGTCAGTTTTTTTCTAGAAAAAAGCTATTCTGCATCGTAGTCCTAACCCATTCCCGCTCTTCTTAATTAATCTCTTATTTTTATACAAACCTTCCCTGAGCCCCAAGAAATATTCTGATGTATTATATCTCAAATTTCCCTTCTGTATGTGACAGTAATTCCGAAAGACGTTTTCACCTGGTCTTCTTTTTATTTCATAAGAACAATTAAACGATGTTTATGCGTACTGGTAAATACGGAAACATTAATCCTATTGCATCGTCTGATTATTTAAATCACCCTTTTTCAGCATCTATGGGTATTCATAAATTTGGAATCGACTAATTATAAACTGGGTGTACCATAATATAAACCAAAATTCTATAAATAAAACATACAGACGTCCGTGTACTTTTGCCTACAACAATGACAAAAAACTGGTAATGAGACCTCCCATCAAAGTGATTCATTCCTACAATCTTGCAATGAGTTTTCAAACAGCAATGTCTAACTATTGTAAATGCTTCCGAATCAACTCTTTAAATTATTTCACTAGTTTTAAGAACCTTTTTGGTAGCAACAAACCGCTTAGTTGGTACCATTATGGGAATGATCATAACTGTTACATTGAGAGATGATTCGGGAATCTTGTAATGTACAAAGTCTCTAACCAGCTTCCATTTAATGTCGATATTATTGGGTAAGGAAATCTTGGTGATAGTAGACACATCTTGACGTCAAAGAAGAGTATGATTAAAGTTTTCCAGACTAAAAGAGCTTGTCCCTTTTTCTTAGTTTGGTATTTTTTTAAACTAGAAAAATCCAAGCCACACGTTACTTAAAACAAAATTGAAAAATCAAGCAATATGTAGTAGCGAGGTATGCAAACGTAAAATTCCCCAAGGGAACGTTTTATGTGCTTGGTCTCTTCTACACTAAAATTCTGCCCAACATCATTCTTATGTTCCAAGGTTTTTTTAAGTGATAACTTGCTGGATAAGACTAATGTGGAAGGTTATTACGTTTACATCTGCGGTGTACTATTTTACATCTATTATTTTTTATAGATTATTTTACGATGAGTACTTGCCGCATGTGCCGCTCTTTCACATTTGGTTTTTCTGGTACTGTTTGGAAATTACCCCTTCTTAATTATCTTGGTTTGTTTGCGCATTCTGTTAAAGAATGTTAACCGCATTCGTGTTAAAGAGAATGGGCTTCTCATTGTTCTTGCTTGGAACCTTAAGCTCTTGGACGCAGATAATGCTTATAGTTAAAATAGACTTTAAAAGAGAGTAGTTTTACTGAGAAAGACAGATAAAAAAACAAACAGAATACAATTATAAGTGTTGTCGAGTTATTGTATAAGATTTGATTCAGAGCTGACTAGAGAGCTGGGTTAGCTCTAATATTTATAAAATATTTAAGATATCGCGACTTGTTTTGATTACAACTCAGATCATTTATAGCTTTATGTAATGCAATATATATTGTAATTATGGAAGTTTGCACAATGGCTGTCCTTGATATATTTTTTCACTTTACATTCTCTAATCTCTTGTTGGTGGAAGCCTAAAGTTTTATTTAAATAAAAAATATTTCAAATAACCTGATAACTTTTTATCGATCTTTTATCGGTTAAACATCTTTCTTTTTGTAGACTGTAGCATTTATTATGAGGCTTTCCCACAATGCTCTTTCAATGCGTATTTTGTCTGTTTGAAGACCTTTTTCAACTGATATTCAAGTTTATTTGTAGTCTTACAAATAGCGTCAGTGACCCATAGAGATATACATGTATAGAAAGAAACCTTGCCCATGACGATTACGGATTACCATTATCTAAATATGAGGTGAATACATCCTCTATCAATAGACCCCTTTTGATTTGCTTTGCATCCTCCATTAGTTTTTGCCTAACGTACACTCACATTTGGAGCACTTCTGTTTTCAATCGTTATAGTGTCAGATTGACAACTCATATATATGCGTATTCTTCTTGCAATTTTCAGTTTAATTATGATGAACATTGAAAAAATCACTGAGGAATCTATTCTGTTAGTACTCTTGCTGATGCAAAAACGTATATCCAAGGTCTTTTACTTAATAGCAACAATGACGTACATAGTGATTTACTCTCCTAAGGTTGTCAGCAATGCTTATTTTTTGGACCAAGAAACACCTGCAGGTACATTATATGACAGAATAATTACAACAATACTTATCGTTAAATGTTACCATCAAAACAGTCAAAAAGATTTGGATTACAGTGTTCTTTTTTTGACTGGTGTAGGTTTGAAAAATTGAGAGTCTAGCTCATGCCAATAATAATAGCGGAATAACTGAAAATAGCTTTAGGTCGGGCATTATTTTCTGTAGTGAGCTTTCCAAAATCGTTGAGAAAAGTAAACTTATCAATCGTTGATAAAGAGAGCGGTTATAACATATTAAAACTGCTATTATAAAACACCATAAAAAAATGGAAGATGTACAACAAAAATACGGTGACAACTTCTATTATCCGAGCATATAATTAAGTCATAAAGTGAGCCACATGTAAAAATATGCCGTCATAATTTTATCAATGCATTGGCAAGTCCAAGTTGAGAACGCGTTGTCGTGGGTACAGCGAAAGTATTTCAGAGACCACATAGTTGAAGTCAAGCAGTCTAGCGGTTTTACCCAATCAATGAAATGACACAGCATAGGAACATTAATTTATCGCTGTTTTTACGTTTTTAGCGGTTGAAATTTAAAGATCGCTCGTAGTCTGGCACGGATTCAGCTTTCATTCGGGTTGTTTTCCTAATTTTTTTACGATTTTGAAGGGCTCCTCGCAATTGTATATCAGCGGTATTAATATCATGAGTTAAGTCAACGTTGTTTTTCCTTTTTTGTAACAAAAAAGATAAAAAAAACCCCCAAAGTAGAAGAACCACGAAGGGGAATATAAGTTTCGCCACATTTATTAGCCTTAATTTGTTGCAGTATAATTTGACAGATTGAAAAAGTCGTAATTTATATTTAGAATTCTAAAATCGTTGGGAACATCTTTACACGCATTCGCATATAAAAATATGTGGTGGCTTGACTACCACTACCAATAATAATAATAGTGATAAATCGTTAAAGTTAAGAGAAAACACCCGGAGTATTTTTTTTTTTTTATATAATTTTTTTTGTCTCATGACATCATTGGACGCAAAGAAGATCAAGACCAGTCGGGAAATCATTCAGCATTGGTCATCGAAGCCTAATGTTACGTAGTCAATGTCTGTTAAAACGAGCAAACACTAGAGCAAGTTTTCTCTAAAACCCTTAAAACTGGAACGGTATTGTTTGATAAACGAAAAACGTCTCCCTTTTGGTTATTATTTGATTATATTTGACTAATTTAACAACGAATTAAAAAAACGGCTTTGAAGATTATTTCGGAACGGCGATCTTAGCTTATTCCAAATGTCAAAGTAAATTGTTCATGGAAGACTTTCTTCATTTTTACACGACCCTAACCTTTACAAACATGCTTTTGTATGTGAACGCAACTGGCTCGTACATTTTTAACATACTTGTGCGGAAGCCAACGAGATGTAAACAAAAGATCTCAAAGCAGAACACTAAACCATCAATTTAATGCCTTTACATGCACGAATTTCGACAATAATATTCCCATTTTGTTGGAAGAAAAAACAAATTAAACAAATTTTTATTTTAATTATTCGTCCAAATTGTCCAAATATTCTATAGGAAATACAAACATGTACATTAAAATAATGAAAATACACAAATGACTAACTTGTTTCGACTTACCATCTGGCTCCAAAGCTAATTGCGCGAAAAACGCTTCGTCCGGATCCACATACTCCACCGAAGTGGACTCAATTCTATCCACCAAAGAGACAGAAAGAGGAACAGGAGCAGAGGCAGACGACAAGCCAGGCGACGCAGAAACAGCAACAACAGCAGGCTTCACACAAGACGATCCACCAGAAGAAGCACCAACAGCAGCAGGTTCAATCTCGCACAGGTCACGAACCACAGGACGAACACAAGGAGAGCAAACAGAGTCGACATCAGACGGTTTAACAGCAAAAGGACCAACAACAGCAGGGTCAAGCTCCATTGGTTCATCAAACACAGGACCGACACAGGCGGGCGAGCCAACAGGGTCAACTGCAAACGGTGCGCCAACAAACGTACCCACAGCATCACGTTCCACAAAGGAAGGTCCAACAAAGACGGGAGCATCGCACAAAGAAGGGCAGACAAGGACAGAAGATGGCGCCGAGCCAACAGACAACATCACAGTGCTTCTAGCAGCAGGAGTGGCAGAGATGTCCATGGGATTATCGATATCCATGGGATCATCTATGATAACCCCAGAGGGAACCAAACCAGGATATCGACGTGCGCATTTAATGCGCAGAGGCCTAGCATCACCAGGACCAAAACGAACTCGACCACGGATCAAAGCGCGTGCTCGACTAACACGGGCTTTGTTGGTGGTATTGGTGTTTGTTTTATTGGTGGCGGTGGTGGTAGTGGTATTGGTGATGGGGGTAATAGTGGTGCTGCTGATGATGTCGTTGTTGGTATTAGGGAAGTTGCCAATATAACCAGCGGTAGATTTGACGGCAGTGGTGTTGACAACAGCCGCAGCAACAGAAGCAGAGACGGCATGAGCGAAATTGGTGGTGGTTTTGCCTACTGAAGCTGGGACAGAAGCAGTAGTGGCAGTGCTACTTGCCTCGACCGAGTGGGAACAATTGTTTTTGATGATGTTGTTGGTGCTGTGGAGAGTGTTGGAGGTGTTTGTGGTGTTTAATGTCACCGTACCAGAAGGCAATACACCCGGAGGCACTACGCGAGATACCACGTCCTTCCAACGTTTTACAGCGAAGGCCAGCATAGCCGGAGTAACTACATCAGAGAACTCAACAGCATCAGGCACTACGGCCAACGAAACCACCACTGGAGGAATCACCACAAGAGGAGCTACGACAGAAGGAGCCACGACGGAAGGAGCCACGCCAGAAGAGGCCACAGGAGAAGAAGCAACGGAACAAGGAGTCACGGCAGAGGAAGCCGCAACAGAAGAGGCCAGAACAGCAGGTACCACGACAGAAGGAGCTACAAGCGAAGATCTCAGGCGAGAAGAAGCCACGGCAGAGGAAGCCACGGCAGAAGAAGCTACAGCAGAAGAAGCACGATCAGAAGAAGCCACAGCAGACGAAACCACAGCAGTAGAAGCCACAGCAGTAGAAGCCACAACAGAAGAAGCCACAGCAGAGGAAGCCGCGGCAGAAGAAGCCACAGCAGAAGAAGCCACAGCAGAAGCACCCCGAACAGACAAAGCCGCTTCAGAAGGTCTGATGGCAGTAGAAGGCACGACAGAAGAAACCAGAGAGGAAGATGTCACGACAGCCGACTTACCATCACGAAAAAGCATGCTGATGGCCAAACGGACCAAAGAACCAAGGAATGACAACAACATGCCTACCAACAACAATAAACTAGAAGAATAAAATATGGACAGTTAGAACAGAGTCATTTCGACCTATTTAAAATAATTACCACAACGACGAAATTAAAAATGCACGAAACTTAATTGGCAAAAGAAAAAGAAAAGAAATTAGTCTTTGATGGAGATTCGTAATGTCAAGTCATGTTACCAAAAGCATTAAGAGCAAAGGAAAAAGTGGCGAAGTTCTGTGAATATGAAATTCCGATAAGAAAGATTTAGAAAAATTATACTATTATGAAAAGATAACAAAAACTTACAAAAAAGCAATCGACGCGACAAAGTAAATCATTTTTAAAATAAAACTACTTTGAAAGAGAAAAAAAAAAGTCGGCGCAGTTCTGCAGACAGAGTTATAAAATATTTTACGACAGTCACTTTTAGTGCGTTTTGAATTTCTTTTTGTAGCACGTAAAAAAGTGTTAAAAATAAACAGCAATCCCTATTATTCTCACCTCCTTTGTAAATGAGCCGTCATTTCGAAACAGAATGTAACGATTTTGCATGCTTTAGAAACAACGTGTGGTAGATCTAACTGAAATGCAGAGTGAAATGACGAGTCAGGCTGTTGGGTTGTTCAAATTACAAATGAGATCTGGGTAAGATACTGTAAACTAGCAAAGTTTAGGACTCGTGTGAAGACCAAATTACAAATTTGAGTGAAAAAACAAGAAGATAGAATCTATTGATCACTCTCACATATGAGGTCTTTAAAGCCCAATGATCTCCTGCCATCAACTATTGCCTGGTATCCACAAGATGTTATTCCGGTTTAGATCCAAAAGTGTGCATCAGTCCGAAGGAGTAGGTAAGATGGTCGCACTTCAATGGTGTAATCGACTAATATGTCTTTAAAAAATAATTTCAACAACTTTATATCTCACGTAACGCATTTACCCAATTATAGCGCCTAGTGTTTCAGAAACCATCAATGTGACATCCCACTATTATACTGAATATGGGCACTTATGTTAGAGAAAAAGTATATCGGCCAATCGAATGTAATTTGTAATTTATTAGAGACACAGGATACGAACTTACAGTCAATGAACAACAACGAATGTTCATCGTCAAACTGGAAGAAAAGCTAAAACAAATGGTTAGTACTTCGGAAACTGGCTACAAGAGCGCAGACAAAGTTGATATATTATGTTGGACGATCAAAAACATTAAGCGGATCAAATGGATAAAAGAGAGTGGATGAAACAGTTGAGGACATCAATGAACTAAAAATCACTTACGCGGCTGACAAGGTCGATGTCGTAAATGTTGTTCTAGTTGTGCCCACATCACATAATAAATACTACTGTCTACAAAAAAAAGGTGTTACACAGATGGAAATTAAGACGACTGGACTGGACTATGTGCATGGTTTTTTTTTACTTTAACACCACTTCAGGGTTTATTCAACAAGAGTGTGATAAATCACACATATAGATTATACAAATAATAAATTCATATCTCATCATCACTGATAAATGATAGCTAAATCATAATCAGGCATACAAAAGGAATTCGCTAAAGACGGTCAATATTTTAAAGTGTCATGGTATCATAACACCAATTTCCAAACTTAAGACATGGTATTGTTATTATTTTTCTATTGACTATGCGTAGCACTAATTGTCCAATATAGACATTGTTATTGATAGCATACTTGTATTGTTAAGCGTAGTATCCTCAGCCTCGTCCATTCCATTTGTTATAAAAACTCTTTATTTTTCCTCTTCTTAAATCGTCAGTTAACTTTAACATCAATAAACTCTGACAAGAATTCTAATTGATCCTATTGTTTTTTTATACCTTTTTTTCTGCAAAACTATCCTCTTTAAGCCTACTTTTGCTACAAAGAGATCAAAGGGTACCGATAATAAGCACAAAAAAGGAGACGTTTTTGACGGCTGTCTTGAATTTAATTATTTCTGAAGTTGGCACTCAATAATAATACAGATATCCATTTGTATCGCAAATATCGGACTTAGAATACATATATATTATTTTGACAGTCTATCAGCGTCCTCTTCATGTTTTATTAAGATCGCATTTGATAACCGTTCTTAGATTGATCGCGTAGACGCCAAAGTTCCATGAACCGCTTAGGTTTTAGCTGCATACGATCGTGCAAAATCGTCTACAATCATTATTGCAACGAAGATAGCTCATTATCCTTGTCCCACCTGATCCCTATTCTTTGTCTTCTGTCACACATGTCACTGCTAAACATTGCTATTGTCTCCTGGCTAACATCTTTTTTCTAAACAATGTATGTCCGTATCCCTTGTCCTTGTAAATTCCATTTACCGTCCGTTTCCTTTGTAACTCTGCCTTTGAACTCCCTTGTAAAACATTAATAATATCAGCCCATTTTATCCTCTGTATCTATTCCCAAAAATTTCTGAATCTATGCCCGCTTCCCCAAAGATGTCTTAAACACAATTTGACTGATAATCTGTATCTGTAAATCTGATCCCCGAACCATTGTTTGCCCGACCTGTCAATTAATATAAATAACATCAAGTTTATTTATTCTTGTTTCCGTATTCCCTATCTTATCTATTTTTCCTGTTTGTTTGAATAAAATCTTTTTCTACTTTCATCGCTTTTATACATATACTAATACTAATAGATATATAATTTCTGTTTGTCTTTGTGGTGATCTGCTATATTGTTGCAACATTAAATATATCCATATCTATGACATCAATACATTAAAAATGATTAAGGAATCAATTACCTAATATAGATAGTTAGTACTATCATATCAAAAGGTTACAAGAACACAGTGACTAAGGCTTACTAAAGATATGGAAGTACAATGTGTCTAAGATGACAGTAATTCCAAGTGAAACATATCTACAAAATAAGCAGTTAAAGGTAACAGGATACACACTGGGAAAATGATAACAACTTCAAAGATACACTAAAGATAGTGGTACAGCAGATAGTCATTTATATATAAATACTTGTTCATTTTATTTTATAATAAAGACAATCTTATAAACAGTCTCATATTACTTATATACTGCCTTATAATTTTACCTACCTATAAACACAACAGTCTTGCCCTCACTTTAATAGTCATTCTGTTCCGCTCTTGGCCCGCCCCGCTACTGACGGACTATTATGAGAAGGTCGACTTGGACAGTCCAGATTACACCTGGTGTTGCTGGAGGTATCTGAGAACATCAACAGTGTTTCCAGTCGTATATTGAATACTTGGAGAGATTTCGTTGTTTATGTAGTTTTAGTAGATTATGCAGTACATTTCGGATATGCTAATGCATAAACAACTGAGTTGCTACAACGTAAGAAAAGTCTATTTTAATCCTTTTGTGTCTCATGGCGCAATCGGGATCAACACGACTGCGATCAGCCGTTTGAAATTCGGGCTGAGCGGTGCCAGCGCGACTAACAGCTCTACAATCACGACCCATAAAACGACCACCATCACAACCAACACCACCAGCACCACAAACGTAACCAGCATTAATACCACTGTTAACATTGTTGTCATGGTCTACAGCATGATACGACCCAACATCATCAAAAGAAAAAGAATCCAACAAGCCATTATATGCTGATGATACAAATAAAGTGCGATTAGCTGGCTGTGTCTTAGATGGAGCCACCAGAGGAGACGAAGCAACATCGGTAGCTGGTATTTTTACAGACGAAGGCTGGCCAAACGAATCCTCACCAAAAGAATGACGTGAGAAAAATAGCGGTTCTTTTGAAAAAGTCCCAACAAAAGAAATATAAAAAGACGAAGAAAGCGCGGTTGACACAGGTTTAGTAAACAAAGACCGAGCATTCAACGGATTACCAGTAGCTAACCAAGCACCAGCAGCCAAAAAAGCACCGGAAACCAAAGGAACACGAGCAGCCAAAAAAGCATTAGCAGCCAAAGGAAAGCTAGCCACCAAACGAGAAAATCCAATACAAAGATGTTGACACTTAGCCTCGAAGGTGGTCAGTCCACGTTTGATGTCATCTGCAGTCTACCCAAAAACAGTATTGTTTATTTCTCTTTCCGTTTCGCGATACTTTAACAGCTGGCGTTAAAAACGCTCACCAACTGTTTTAAAAGTCCATGAAGATGAAATTACTTTATCGGCCAGAAGTTGCTAGAACAATCTCTCACTGATCTCTCTTTTTTTGATCTTACTACCAGCAGAAGGTGCGGGTAATTTTTGTCCACGATAACATATCTTAAAAAAGTCCTTATTACTCTCAATGAAATCAATCATAGCCTAAATTTGACCACCTGTAATTTTGGTTCTATCAATGATTTTATCTGCGTCATCATTGTTGAAAGGATCGCCACCAGTGTTTCTGTTTAATTGATCTGACATTGTATTATGTATCACGGACAGAAGGGACAGAACAGAACAGGAAGACTGCTTGGTGACCCGTGGGGGCCGATTGGTTAGAATAGAATATTTATTTAGTAAGAAAGGGAGAGGGTTATGACTAAGATCCAGAATAACGTTTTTCTAATAAATAAGTAACATCTATTAATACGATTTCTTATACATGGAAAAAATTACGAAAGGTATAAATTATAGATTAACAAAGGATTTGACGAGTAGTAACAGGCTGCATTTAGTCGACATTGAATAATATGATAGTTCGGGGAATACAGTACCTATAGTTTGACACGGGCGGAGAACCTAGATTGTGAATAAAAGTAATATATGATTGGAAATATTTACTAAGGTTGATTCAGACAGGAAGCGCGAGTACGATTGAGAGACAGGTTTACGATATGTTTTACAAGGAATTCGGTCGCGGGCAAGATACTGATATGATTTTTGGTACAAGGTTTTACAGGGAGTTTGGTGGCGGACAAGATATACTGATATTAATTTCTAGGACAAGGTTTCACATGGGTTAAAATCAAGGCATAATCTGGAACATGATGAATTGTGCTCAAGATATTATAAGTTTTAGAGAAAATTAAGCAGAAAAAAGGTATGTTGAGAACATAGAAAAACTTTATAATGCAAACACGGATACGATTTGATGCTTTTAGATTATCATAAAATAAATAAATGCCTCATTTTTACGTCATTTATCCTTCACAACAACGAATAGAAAAAGAGTTTTTTTTTCCCGACATATCTCGGGCATAGTTTTTTGCACGCATAGTCTCGGCACATAAAATCGTTCCCGCAAACCTTAGGGAATTCAACTGGGAAAATTTTCCGGGAACTGTTTTTAAAAATTAAGGAAATGCTTTTTAAAAATTAAGGAAATGCTTTTTAAAAACTAAGGAAATGCTTTTTAAAAATTAAGGAAATGCTTTTTAAAAATTAAGCGAATGCTTTTCAAAAATTAAGGAAATGCTTTTTAAAAAAATAAGGAAATGGTTTTTAATGTTTAGGTCCGCTTACTGTACAATATTTGTTTTATAACCATATTATTAAAACCAAAATGGAACTACATACTAAAACATGTTGTCCTGTTGTCATCTATGCATCATTAAATCCAAGTTGAGAATGCTTGGTCATAGGTATAACAATATTATCGCAAAAGTATTTCGGATATTGCATAGTTAAAGACAAAACCATTTAATGTCTTTATCTGATTAATCGAGTGGCACAGTATAGGCCAATAATATCTTCGCTATTTTCAGTTTTCGCTTGGGTATAACGTAAGGTTTTTCAGTGGTCAAGAACGGATCGAGCTTTCATGGGATTTGTTTTTCGTAATTGCTTTACGATTTTGAAAAGCTTCTTGTAATTTGAGATCTGTGATATCACTCTCATTACTTAAGTTATAGTTATTATTCCTTTTGTAGCCAAAAAAAAAAGAACGGAATAGAAGAGTTGCTGGTGTATCACAAGACTATCTCACCATAATAATAACTACTTTAATGTAAATGCGGAACATACAAGAATCAACGATACAACAAATAAGAATCACCGACATAACAAACCACTATGGCGGAAATAATGACAACTATCTGCCATTTACTTCACAAAACTGCCATTTTTTTGGCGTGCAAAAGTGGCAGATATGATATTCTATAATAAAAAAAGAGGCACAACTGCCATATTTTTGGCTGGCAAAAATGGCACCTTTAACAGTTGAATGAAGCCAAGAGGTTCACTGCTGCTGTTTTTTGGTTTTAAAAAATGGCACCTATTTTAGTTTGTTGAAGACAAATCATTCACAGCTTCCATTTTCCTGGCTTGTAAAAGTGGCAGTTATTATATTCTATAATAACAAACGTTCACAGCTGCCATTTTTTTTAACGGACAAACCCTTAACCTTTCTTTTAGACCCATTCTTTTATATTTGGTAGGCTCACATTTTCTTATTCATCGTTATTATTGGCAGTAAAGCACGTTTTATTGGATTATTTATTTATATTTCAGTGGTGTATAGGAGGGTTTGATATAACTTTAACCTTTTTTTTTAGGTTTGTGGTTGTATACATGGCAATAAGATATACCATTATAATGCTTGGATGTTACTTTAGCTTATCTTTGACACTCTTAACACTCTATAAAGGTATTGTTAGAAAATAATAATATTTTAATTAATTCTGCATTTTATTACCAGCCTTAAGTTCTGATGTCGATAATTATTTGACCGCTGGTGTTCCTAAAATGTCCTCGTTTGAGTGAAAGGTACACAGAATAAATAGTCTATATTTAAGCCGTATGATATCAATAAGAATAAAACATAACTTTTTAAAGGCTATTTACCTGTAAAGATAGAACCGTCTATTGATGAGAACCATTATCCATGGAAAATGGTTATATTATACAGACGTGCTTTAGTTTGATCAAAATAACGAAAATAGGCTAAATTTTTATCTAAAAAAAACCCCCCTCTAGTTTTTTATACAGATTACTTGTCATTGCTTCAGTCATTGCAAACATACCCAATTCGAACATACTTGTTCACACCTTCCGTTATTTTGAAGGGGCTACATACCCTTACCATTGTTATTTGAAGGCTATTCATTTTAAAAGATAAATAAAAGTAAAAGAAACCGAGAAAAAATTGTAAGCTAAAAGAACGCTAAATACACACTAATAAAGAAGCTAAAAACCAGAATGGACCAATCATGTCGACCAGACACGACTACTATCTTCTTCTGGTTCTTTTACGTGAAGGTTCATTCGCTACCTCTGGTGGAGGAGAAATGTATAAAAATAAAGTATCGCATATGAGTATACATATATCATGCATGAAAAACAATAAAAAAAACCTACAGTACGTCTGCTATGATGGGGGACTCATAGCGACCCATATCTTCGAAAGCGTCATTGATAGAGTCTGAACTATCGGGATCTTGTTGATTCTACATTTTTTTTTTTTACCTTGTTAACGATATTGATGAAATAAACCGCATAAGTATTTTTTACTGTTACCCTTCTTCTGTGTGTCTGGTTGTCACTTTTAAAGCTCTCCCTTAACAAGCTTTTGGCACACCACATTCTCTTACACTGGTATATTTTGAACCCCTTGTCATTCGCAAGTTTTTTCCAGGCGCAACATCTTCTTTATAAATAAAACTGGTTTTTAAAATAATAAAAAAATGGCAGTTTGTTACCATTTGCTTCACAGGCGCAAAAAATCATTTTGTATACGGTAAGCCATCAAATTCGGATCAATATCACATCAAATTTTTGGCATATACCAATCTAATTTTAACTTCGAGATAATTTTTATAACATCTAAACTACATATTGACCGTTCCAGAGATGTTTTTGAAGCATTTTTGTTTTTTTATGATATTATGATCATTTGTAGCAATCTTTTACTCAAATATTATTGGCTGGGGATATCGAGCAAATAAAAAAATGGCAGTTATGTTTCCATTTAATTCACAGCTGCTGTTATGTCCGCCATAGTGAACATGAACATATAATATATATACAAGAGCAAATTAAGCATTTAATAAACGATTGTCTTATATTTGATGGAAAATATCGCGTCTCAGACATTGGATATTACAGTTGCGATGGGGATTACAAGTTTGACCATACCTGTTGGGGTTGTTCTATCAAACAAGATAGACAGTCTATAAGATAAAGAAAAAGGTAATTGTGAGACTGGGTAAATTGGATATTGTTTTATTATTGAATTAGAGGATGGTTTATATAGGAATTAACAAAGTCCTTTCGGTACTTGTCAATTAATAGAGCAGGCTGAGAGAAGGATTTATAATGTGAACATATTGCAGTACGCATCTGTAGACTATGCGTGCATTGTAAGCTGTCGTATTATTTATAACTTGTTTTTATCCTTTGTAAATGCAGATGTTGCGTGTAAACCGCGTGTACGTGAGGTGACACAAAATAGCTATTTCGAGTTTCTTCGCTAAAGTAACTCACAGAATAGTCCTTGTATACACTTCGGGATATTTGGGTATACAACAGGGGTCATTTTGTCGTAGTCTTATTTCAGAGATTGAAACCAGTCGTATTTTCTAATTTGAGTTATACAATTGTTGGGAATACCATTACAGGCACTGGTGTACAAATATATACATGAAGGCTTGATTCCGACTACCAATCATAAAGATAAAACGCTAAAATTAAAAAAAAAAACCGACGTATTACTTCTTTTTATATAATTCGTCTTGACTCAGGACTACATTAAAACAAAAGAAAATCAACATCGTTCTGGAATTGATTCGACATTGGTCACCATTGTACTAAAATATGCACTATTTAACATATAAAATCGCATATAAAATCTTTCCATCGATCCTTGATCGACAGGTACATAATATCATAATACTCATAGAAAATAATAGCATAAAAAATATCCTGAGTTATACATTTACAACTCAGGGTTACTAGATATTCCAATAGAAGATCCCATTTCGAATAATAGATTGGCTACACTGATAAGGCTCATCAGTCATTAGTAAATACAGCCAATAATACCAAGTGAACACAAACGAGCCCATAATTTTACCCACGCTTTAAAATAACTATAAATATCCCCCTTTCTTTCAGAGATGAAAGAGGGATTCACTTTTAATAAGAATAAAAAAGCCTACAAGCAATATTAATCTTATTCTTTCTGTTTTTTAATCTTTTATTTTCCGTGTCAAACAAACCGTTTTTCCACAACCATACCTTAATGTTACGTAGTTAATGCCTTTGAAAATAAGCATTCGCTAGAGTTTGTTTGCAAGAAAACCTTTGATATTAGAATGTGATTGTTTTCAAAAAAAAGTCCTCTATTTCAACATATTTGATAATTTAGAAACATATAAAAAAATACATCTTAGAAAAGTATTTCGGAACGGTGATCTAGTCAGATTCCTGCTGTCAAAGTAGATAATTGTAGATCGATAACGATTCTCATTTTCGTACAATTAAGACCCTCACTCGCGTGCGTTTATATGTGTGAACGACGACTTTGAACCATCTTAATACACTAGTGGGGAAGGAAACCAGGTGCGAAGAAAATATTTGAATATATAGCAATACATTCTCAATTTAATGCCCCATATAACCCATTATCATTTCAATATCAGTCACTTTTTAAAAAAACGAATGTGGACAATAGTATTCCGAATTTTTTTTTTAAGGAAAAAATATAAAGAAATTTCAATTTATTTCCTCATCCAAATTATCCAGATAGTCTATATTAAATAAAAACATGTACATTAAAATAATCCGAATACTCAAATAACTAATTTGTTTAGACTTACCATCTGGTTCCGCACCTAATTGGGCGAAAAACGCCTCATCGGGATCCGCATAGTCCACCGAAGTGGACTCAGCTCCAGCGACAGAAGAGACAGACACACCAACAGGACTGTGCTAAAATCGCACTTATAAATAATAAAATAAAATAAATAAATCGTCGATCCCACATGGTCGACTCATATACCAAATACAATATCACAAAAGAAAAGAACATCAGGTCTAAAAACTGAGTTACTACTTTAGAACTCAGTTTGACTTAAGATTTCTTAGAACCATCGTCCTCTCAATTCTGACAGAACAATAAGACTAGCTCATTGTTTACGAATCAATCCAATCATAAAGGCAATGACTGCTTAAATTTAAGGCACCATCGGACATGTATTATACCACCCAATGGTACCTTCACTAACTTTTAGATAACCGTTTAAACTACAGATCCCAATAACTATAAATACCCTGCCTTCTACTATAATGTAGAGTGCATCTGCTTTTGAGTAGTTCCTAACGTGTTTTGTGACATTTTTGAGCATTCATCTCCGACTAGTACAAGTAATATAAAAGGAAATTTATTCATAGCCAGATTTTTTTTATGTGGGGATTTTTTTTTTTTTGAAGAAAATTTTTCAGTGGAAGTAATATTGGGCCCCCGGCTGCGATTTCATAGGCCGGCTCTAAACAGCTTTAGATCAATATTTCAAGCCTTTCAATAGATAAATTATTTTTAAAAAGGGTCACGCATCTTAAGAATATACTTTATAATATACATTCTAAATTACAAGTAATTCTACTTATTACATAAAAAAAATTTAAACTTTTTTACCCTTTTTCAAGGTTGATGATATTGAGCCTCCGGCTGCGATTTCATAGGCTGTCTCTAAACAACTTCAAATCAATATTTCGAACCTTTCACTAGATATATTAATTTTAAAAAGGGTCACGCATCTTAAGAATATACTTTATAATATACATTCTAAATTACAAATAATTCTACTTACATAAAAAAGTTTTAAACTTTTTTATCTTCTTTTCAGTGTAAGTAATATTGAGCCTCGGTCTGCGATTTCATAGGCCGGCTTTGAGCAACTTCAGATCAATATTTCAAGCCTTTCAATAAATATATTGGATGACTTCCAAAATGCAAAATAGAATTAAATAGAATAGACTTAATTTTTTGGGTTGTGTAACGTGGAATTAACCTTAAATTTCACTGCTTAAATTTTTGAAGTTAATTCGACCCCCCTACCCCCCCGAATTAAAATAGAATTAACTCCAAAAAAAAAAAAAAAAACATTTCTATTAAATACTTTGTTTCTGATAAACGCTAATAATATGCAGATAATAGATATGAGATGTATGGATAATATTTGTCAAAAACGTTTATTTATTCGGCTCTTTTACGCTTCTGGGAACGGGTGCCTTTGCCCTTTTCAGAAGTAGGAATAGGTTGCTAATGTGCATATAAAGATTATGGTTTTTAGTACGAATAAAAAAAACATGATTTATAATAGTTAAACTACCTTAGCTACCGATGTCTTGATATATTCAAACATCGCTGACATCTGATAATGTAGTCGGTTAGATAGAGTTTATATATATGATACGAATCAACATATTGATTAAATTTACCGTCTCCTTCAACTCGTTGAACTCCTTTTTGACATCATTGAGTTCACTTTTGAGGCCATTTTTCACACCATCCAGGCGAATGTTGACCTCCTCAAATTGATTGTCAACAGCTCCAAGACGATTTTCAATCATTTCCAAATTGACATCGGTCACGTTGGTCATTTCGGAACGTGTGGTTGGGACCGATGGTTTTGGTTCATTTTCTCCCCGAAGAGACAACGCAATTGCCTCAGCCAGGACACCAAAATGGTTGTTGAAGTCCTCCATATGCTGGTGGGTATTTTTGGACTTCTTTGGCATTGGCACCGTTCTACCAACTGCACGAGGAGATGCCTCACTCTTGTCACTGTCTGTTAAACTCTGCTCTACCAGATCATCAATTGAGCGAAAGCCGCTACCTCCATGATGCATGCGGCTTGCTTTCTCTTCATCCTCGGAATCCGTGTGACCATGAAGCTGTGATAAGCAGCCTTTGATTGCAATTTGGTCCTCAATTGTTTTTGCATCAGTAATCAAAGTAGTTGGGGTTGAGTTGCCTAATAGATTTTTTTTGTTTGTATCATTGTTAGCAAGATTTCTTTCATTACACCTCGAATTATATGATAATTTACCTGTTGGTGCTTTTGCCGTTCTCAATGTACGATAAGCCGCCTTCAAAGAGTTGCCGCTACGCTCATAGGCAACCTTCGTTCCCTTGGTTCCTGTTTCCAACCTGATGGCCTCGTTTTCTTGTTCGACAATTTTTTTTTGTCCAGCCATATATATTTGGCTTACACGGGACCATTCGTCCGCTCCACTTGGCAAAACCTTCTTTACTATTTTCAGTAAATAGGTTTTTTCATCTTTAGTCATTCTGACAGATCCTGTTACGTTGCCCATTGTTATTTTTATTAAGTTATATGAAAAGAAAGAAAAAAGGCTTTTTTAAAAAGCGAAAATTATGGTTTTTATAACACGTTGTTTAATAAAGCACGCTATTATGTCAGACTTGTTTGAATCAATCATCTTGTTGGGATAATATGGCGTGACTTATGAGATTCGATGTTGTGGAACCCAATTGTTGTCACTTTTGTATTGGTAACGAAATACAAGTTAATCTCTCTTTTATCATCCATTTCCTTTTTCTTTATCCCCTTTATATTTTTGATACAAAATGCCCCCTATAACAAAGCGTAAATTAGCATTATTATCGCATATTACTTTGCTTTCTGCTGCTGCCTATCAGTACATGAATTATCTTGAATCTCAACGCCGTATTTCTAAACGATTCTACACAACGTCAAAAAGTCTGCATTCACCTACTAAATCGGCTGCTAAAAGGTTGCTTGATGGTCGTCAGGATGATGCCTTTATGTGTCATTTTGGTTTGACGACTGGAGCATTCGATCAATTACACGAAGAATTCCAAAAAGAATATCCAACCGAATGCACGGCTGGACGTAAAAGAGTACTTGACACGGTGATGACACTTGCTTTGGTTCTGATGTGGTTGCATAACACCATGAAGCAGGAGACACTCTGTATAATATTTGGTGTCCCTGCTGCAACACTCAGTAGATTTAAAACTATGGGTATTCAAACCCTCTTAAACGTTTTTGAAAAAAACAAAAAAGACCCTCGTTGGAAAATTGGTTGGCCCACTACAGATGAAATGACAACGTTTAACGATATGGTGCTTACGAACACCACAAATGACTTTGAGAAACAGGTGTTAGAAGGAGTGTTTGGCTTTGTTGACGGTCTTAACCTTAGAATACAACATCCTGAAGACCCATTCGAGCAAAATGCGTACTATAACGGATGGAAAGGTGATTGCTATGCCTCACAAGTTTTAGTATATACCCCGGATGGCTGTATCGCCTATGTGAGGTAGGATTGACATACTTGTTTGATTCTCTAAACAAACAAAACTAAATTGACTCTTTTTCTTATAGATATAACTGTCCTGGTTCTTGGCATGATGCCGAAATAGCAATTCCACTTTACGAAAGGTTTCTTGCTTACAAATGTCCAAGCCCTTTCAAGCTTCTTGCGGATTCTGCTTTCCCTTGTAAGCGAGAGTTTGAAAACAAAGTGCTAAGTGTACCAAGAGAAAACGCAATTGGCATTGAAAGAGCCAACGTGCAGACACAAAAGAAACATGCTATCATTACCAAGCATAGACAGGCAGTGGAATGGGGTATGAGAGCCATACAAGGGTCTTTTGGAAGACTTCATACCAAGCTTCCTTCGGATAAAATTAAGCGTTATGAAATCTTGACCCTTGTATGGAGACTACACAACTTCAGTGTAAGAACGGTTGGCGTCAACCAAATTAATACTGTTTACTATGCTAATTGGAAGGCGAGAGAGCAAGAAATTTTGAATTATGAAAATTAATAAAATTTATTGAAAGTTAATTCTATTTTATGGTTTTGGAACAAAAAAAAATTAACTCGGAAAATCAAATTCCCGGAGTTAATTCTATTCTATTTAATTCTATTTTGCATTTTGGAAGTCATCCATTAATTTTAAAAAGGGTCACGTATCTTAAGAATAAAGTTCATAATATGTATTCTAAATTACAAGTGGTTCTACTTAGTACATAAAAAATGTTTAAACTTTCTTACCCTTTTTCAGGGTTGGTGATATTGAGCCTCCGACTGTGATTTCATAGGCTGTCTCTAAAACAACTTCAAATCAATATTTCCAGCCTTTCAATAGATAAATTATTTTTAAAAAGGGTCACGCATCTTAAGAATATTTGTTTTAATGTATATTTTAAAATTCAAGTAGTTCTACTAAGTACACAAAAAAGGTTGAAGTTATTTCAAGCCATTGCTAAGGATTATATAGTCTGTGCGCGGTTTTTTAAATCCGTGAGCACAAACAGTGGGTTATTTCAAAATCCGACTACGGCTAATGATATTAGCGGCAGGTTATTATTGGCCTAAAAACTTTTTTGTACAGGTTGTGACATTTTTCCACCGCCCCCACCTAAAAAAAAAAAGTTGAATCCAGAATCTGTTATGTTTTTTAATTTGATACATGTAGATTCTCATTTTAATCAACATTAAAAACAATCCTAACCTTTCAGATGGGATATTAATTATAAGGAAAATGTGTTTGACCCAACTAATTATTTGTCTCTGCTTAAATTTTTTTTTAGGTACCACCAAAAAGCAGATGCACTCTACAAGGTGATTCAGTTTTAAAGCTAATAATAAGAATAAAAGCCTACAAGCACTATTAATCTTATTTACCTGTTTTTTATTCTATTTTTTTCTGTGTTAAACAAAGTTTCTCCACAAGGACCAATGGCGGACGACTCGCCAGGAAGCGCAGAGCCGGCAACAACAGCAGGGTTCACAGCAGATGGTCCACCGGAAAAAGAACCAGAAGCAACAGGCTCAAACTCAGAAAGGTCAGCGACCACAGGACTAACACAAGGAGAGCAGACAGAGTCAACATCCATTGATCTACCCTCAAAGGGATCAACAGCAACGGGTTCCTCGACGGAATGTCCAACCCAAACAGGACCAACACAACAAGGAGGACACCCAAAGACAGAAGATGGCACAATGCCAACAGAAAACAACGTAGGAGTTGCTGCAGCAGGAGTGACCGACATGTCCATGGGGTCATCGATATCCATGGTATCATCGACGACCACCCAAGGCCTAGCCAAACCGGCATGGCGACGTGCGCATTTGACGCGCCGAGGTCTAGATTGACCGCGTCCAAATCGGAGTCGGCCCGGATTTGAGCTTTGGCTCGACGTACAATCGATGTGCTGTTGCGATTAGTAGCTTTCAATGCTACCAAACCAGACGATCCAACAGCATGAGGACCCACAGAAAGAGACGTCACAGCCGATGGAAGTGCCACGGCAGCAGGAGTCACATCCAAAGGGGTCAAAGCAACCGAAAGCGCAACAGCAGCGGGAGAAAATGCAACAGAATCCACCGCAGTAGGATCCAGAGCAGCAGTAGCCATAGGAACAGGAGCTACAGCAGGACGAGCCACAACGGAAGGACCCAGAACAACAGAAACGACAGACGCAGGTACCGTAGCATTAGGTGCCAAAGAAGCAGGATCGATAGAATCGCCACCCAGAGCAACATAAGCTGCAGTAGAAGAAGCACCAGCAGCAGAATCCACCGAAGCAGGATCCACCGAAGCAGGACCCACAGCAGGACGAGCCACAACAGCAGGACCCGGAACAGCTGGAGTCACAGCAGAAGCTACCATAGCAGCAGGTGTCAAAGAAGCAGGAGCCACAGCAATGGATGCCACAGCAACAGGAGCCATAGCAGCGGGAGCCATAGTACCAGACGACACAGCAACAGGAGCGACAGCTGCAGGAGGCATAAAAGCAGGTGCCACAGCAGCAGGAACGACAGAAGCGGGACGCACAGCAGCATGTACCATACCAGTAGGTACCAAAGCACCAGGTGCCCCAGCAGCAGCAGTCACAGAAGCACGAGCGACAGAAGCAAGAGGTACAGCAGGAAGAGGTACAGCAGGGAGAGGCACAGCAGCAGATGTCACAACAGCAGGAGTGATAGAAGCAGTACCCACAGAAGCAGTAGCCACAGACGCAGCAGCGACAGATACAGGACGCACAGCAACAGGTACCAAAGCAGCAGGTACCAGAGCAGTAGGTGCCAAAGCACCAGATGCTACAGCAGCAGGAGCTACAGAAGCAACGACAACAGAAGCACGAGCAACAAAAGCGGGATGTACAGCGGCAGGTGCCAAAGCATTAGGTGCCAACGCACCAGGGGCCACGGCAGCAGCAGTGACAAAAGCAGCAGCCACAGTAGCAGGAGTGACTGCAAGAAGAGCGAGAGCAGAAGAAGTCACAAAGGCAGGAGCGACAGCAGCAGGAGTTACAGCAGCACGTGCGACAGCAGCAGGAGCCACAGCAAAAGTAGCAAAAGCAGAAGGACCAACAAGACAACAACGAACCCTGTTACTGGCCGAACAGACCAAAGAACCAAGGAGAGACAACAGAATGCCTACTAAAAATAATAAGCTAGAAAAATCAAATACTATCAATTAGCAAAGAATCACTTTACGTGTATAAATTACGTACCCCAGTAACACGAAAAAAATCGCGCAAAACTATATTCGCGGGTAAAAAAAAAAGGGATATTAGCATTTGATGGAGATTCCTAATGTCATGTCATATTACCAGAAGCTTCAGCAGCAAAGGAAATAATGGGGACGCGCTATGGACATGAAAATTAGATAAGAAGGATTAGAAAAGACGTACTTTTATGAAAAGGATAACGAATACTTACAAAAAGACAATCGACGCGATACAGTAAATCATTTTTAAAATAAAAATACTATGAAAGAAAAAAAGAGAAAATGGGCGCAGTTACCCAAGGAAAATAATAGAATATTTTATTGACTGTCACTTTTAGTGCGTTTTGAATTTCTATGTGTACCAATAATTAGACTGTGGGGAAAGAGCAACTCCTGTTATTCCCATTCCGTTGGTAAATGAACCCGCATTTCCAAACAAAATGTTATGATGTCGCATGCTTCAAAAACAATAGGTCGTAGATCTAACTGGATTGCAGAGAGAAATAACCAATCATGCAATTTAGTTGTCCAAATTACAATAGAGATCCTAATGAGAGACAGTAAACTAACAGAATTTAGGACTCGTGTGAAGACCAATTGCAAAATTGTGAATAAAAACAAGAAGGTGAAATCTATTGATGGCTCGGTCATTAAAAATGTTTGAAGTCTTACGACACCCTGCTTTCAAGTCTTGGCTGGTATCTGCAAGGTGATATTCAGGTTTAGATCAAAAGGTGTACCTCTTTCCGAACGAGTAGGTAAGATGATCACATGTCAATACTGCAATCGACTAATGTGTCTTTAAAAAATAGTTTCAGCACGTTTATATCTAACGTAATACATTTCCACGTTCATTCCTTTTATTGTTTCATAAACCATCAATGTGACATACCACTACAATATGTGGGCACATACAGTATGTTAGAAAAAAATTAGATCGGCCAATCGAAAATAGTTTTTATTTTAACAGAGTCATCCGCACCGAATATACTGTTAATGAACAACAACGAATGCCCATCGTCAAACTGGAAGAAAAGCTAAAACAAATGGGTAGTACATCGGAAACTGGCTACAAAAGCGCAGACAAAGTTGATATATTCTGTTGGACAATCAAAGACACTAAGCGAATCAAATGGATAAAAGAGAGTGGATAAAACAGTTGAGGACATAAATAAAATAAAAATCACTTACGCGGGTGACAAGGTCGATGGCGTAAATGTTGTTCTTCTTGTGCCCACATCACTTAATAAATACTACTGTCTAGAAAAAAAAGGTGTTACACAGATGGAAATTAAGAAGACTAGACTGGACTACGTGCGTGGTTTTTTTACCTTAGAATAACTTCCAATAAGAGATCAGAGGGTTCCCAGAATAATCACAAAAGAAGAGTCGTATTTGACGGCTCTCTCGAATTTAATTATTTCTGAAGTTCTCACTCAATCATTAAACACACACCCATTTTTATTGTAAATATGATATTTAGAATCCATACATATTAGTTCGACAATATATCAGCCTGGTATTTATGTTTTACTAAGATAACAATTCATAACCGGCAGCTGTCAAAGTGTCAGGAGCGGGGCGGGACAAGAGCAGAACAGAATGATTATTAAGGTGAGGACAAGACAAAAAGATATTATATATCTATTAGTATTAATATATATATAAATAGGAATGAAGGTAGAAAAAGGTTTATTCAGAAAAGCAGGAAAAATAGATAAGATCTGGAATACAAAAATAAGGATAATTAAACATGCCGTTATTGATATTAATTGACAGATCGGGTAAACAAGGGTTCGGGGATCAGATTTACAGAGACAGATTATTAGTCATATTGAGTTTGGGACATCGTTGGGGTAGCAGGCATAGATACAGATAATTTTGGGGATAGATACAGAGGATAAGATGGGCTGATATTATTAATGTTTTACAAGGGAGTGCAAAGGCAGAGGTACAAAGGAAACGGATGTTAAATGGGTTTTACAATAACAAGGGATAACCGAGATACATTATTTGGAGCAGAGACGTTAGACAGGATACAATATTGATGTTTGACAGTGACATGTGTGACGGAAGACAGAGTACAGGCAACTGGTAGGACAAGGACAATGGGCTGGTTGGGGTCCTATAATGGTCTGAGACTTTTTGTATGATTATATGTAACTAAAACCTAGGCCCTTCATGACACAAGGCTTCTAATTCCTCATAAATTAATTAATTTAATGACGTTTTCGCAATATAGATAAACATTAATGCACTAAAAATAACAGATATTAGTTATCTAGCTTCGTGCATACACAATAATTTTTTTTTATTTGTAACTGATTTATTAATCTATTCTTACTGTTAGATAAAAAGAAAGAAAAAAGGTAAAAGGAAAAAGAAAAAAGGTAAAAGAAAAGGAGAAAAGAAGACTCCGTTTATATGTACCTTTTATAGGTTGTTGTTACGACGGAGTGATGACTGGAGGCAAATGATTTTTTTTGTATACGCGGCTTCTTGACAACAGGACTCTTAGACGGATACTCGTCTGCTGCGGGTAAAGAGAGTGAATGAGTAATTTAAGGTTTGGATCTCTGATTTTATTGACCCAATCTGAGTAAGTATCCGCTCATAGACGGATGCTCGACTGCTTCAGGTAAATCGAATGTGTTGTATCGCAGATGTATTGAATCATAGAAACAATAGAAATCCAATATTAGATCTCAGTAGACAGACTGGAGATCGTAATCATGGAAAGATTGTTATGGACGAATAAGAATACATGGATAAACATTTATTCAATTCAAATGGATAGACGATTGAATAGTAAATCCCGATTGGATCTACTATTAGTTTAGACACAGCTTCGTAAAAGTATAAATACGAGCTCATTCAACTCTTAATAAAAGGTTATCTTTACTTTGATTATTTTAAAGACCCATTTTGATATCTACGATATTTCAGAATGGATGAGGTAATTTTTAGAGTTTGGATCTGAATTTTTATTTACTCAATGTGGATAAGTATCCGCCCATAGACAAATGCTTCTCTGCTGCAGGAAAGAGGAACAGATAAAGTAACTTTTATTAACCCAATGTGCGTAACTACTCGCGCATAGACGGATACTTGTCCGCTGCAGGTAAATGGAACGGATAAAAACGCTTAAATTCTTATGCAACCGTTATATTTTACTCAAAATGAACCAACAGTTACCCCTGGACGGATATTTACCTTTTCTGAGTAAATGAAATAATTTTATTTTTTGTGTACTATTGTATATTTACCCAAAATAAAAAGATAGTCGCTCACGGGCGGCTATCCGCCCAGATTTGAGCGGATGTTTACCCCCAGACGACTATTCGCTCATTCGTCCGCTTTTACTTTGTTTAAGTAAGTTTTTTTAGCCTAGGTGTTTTGTAAACTTAAAAACCAAGATAGACCACTTTTTTTTCAAAGCCGAGTAACTAGTAACAGCAGCATTCCAATTGCCGTTGCGGTTATTATTTTGTTATATAAACAGCTTTTAATAAGCAGTTTGACAACTACCATTGGCATCCCTCAATACCATGTTAAAAAAGTGAAGAAGGGTATTGGCAGGTATATCACACCGGTTTTGTGTCCTTCAAACTGGCTTTAAATAATTCATACACGTCTGTGTTGATTTGTATCTCATTTGTATTAGGATTAGCACTGATTTCGATATTCTTTTTAGCCGCATTTTCAACATTTTTTCAAGCATTAGTTTGCTCATTCCCTTCGGCACTGGCCTCGGCATAGTCTCTTTCTTCTTCTTCATCGTCAAAAACCTCGCTACATCTCGGTCTTCTCCGATATTGTTCTGATATTTTTCGAAATTACTGCTACTTACACAATGAGTGATACCTGACAATATGATTAGTTTCCGATGAAAATGGTTTTTTTAACAATGTCAATGAACCTTTTTCCATGGCAATTGTCTCGATGTTGGCAGTGATCTCTTCAGTTTTAGTCATTCTTAGTCATTCCTTGACATTCCACTAAGTTATTTTGCTCTGGAGCTCAAAAAATAAGGACATGAGACTTATTGTTGTTAATGCCATCCAACAGTTCAATTAAAAACTTTTCTTTTTCAAACTGATAGTTGTAGTTGTTGAAGCAGAGTTCTTCTCCTTGAGGATGATTTCTTAAGTATTCGTTTAATTTGTAAAGAAACAGATTTGTTTAAGGAATATTTAACAAAAAATTGAAAAGGGGAAAAACAAACTTCTGTATCACAAGATCCGAACTCTATTTTTAACTCCGCTTTTTTCTTCTTTTATACACATCACCAGCAGTTCGTTTTTTGTTACAAAATGCTGCAATTAATATTTATAAAACAGAAAGACACAATGTAAAGATCAAAATACGTTCAGACTGCTTATAGAGTTCTTCAATAATAAAAGTACATTATATGATTGAGTGGTTTATGTTTTAACAATGAGTTTGCTTATCTAAATTATGTAAGATAAATCTTTTATAAAATTAGTTTAAGGGGTTTTTTACACACTGCAGGTAGCTGTGCCGTGTTGTGGAATTGATCAACGTTATCTTTATTTTAGATATTTTTGTTCAGGAATCAGAAATAGAACCAGTTTTTTTCCTGGTATAGAATAAAACCAACTGTGATGATTGGAATAAAAATCAAAATATAAATTCGAATACAAAACAATTATAGAAATCGCACTCTATAGTTGTGTATTATAAGTCGGAGAGTTTTCCATCATAAAAGAGGCGTCCTTTTTATACAATGATTAGTTTAAGATTCCCCTGTGCAGATTGAATTAATTATTTACCCGCAAACTAGAAAATAATAGAGTTTCATTTATAAACCAGTTATATATGCAACATAGTCTAATGTTACATCCAAAGAGCTGATTAATTCAAATCCGGCATTTCTAGTGCATTATCATGTATCCATTCAATTAATACTAAAGTATTTAATTAAATCTGTCAATACATTTATGAGAGACTAATAGGCAGCAATTCGACTAACCTAGAAAAGATTACCAAATCTGGTCTCAGTTAGGAATACGCAAAAGCTGGTACTGTGTCGAACCAATAGGAATGTATTCGCTCAATGGTACTTATAATACATAGGTTATATGTATTGTAATTGAATGACAAGATAAGAGTAATCGTATTCGTGGAATTAGGCGTCAAATACGACACGCTATATTGAAAACTGGTTGGCGTAAAGACGGTATGTCGTCTATCATCTAGTACGAGTAATCAAGTAATACAACCATCTCACGCATTGTTGAATGTATAAGCAATTTATTGTTGCGTGCGGCCAAAAAAACCTTAAGACTACTTGATAAGAAATTACGAGCTATACTTCATGCCATTACCGATATATAAATTAAATCGAAGCGTTCCCTGTTGTCTACATATTTTAATCCAACGTATGCAAAACTCAATTGAGGCCAAAGTTTCATATAAAAAAACCTTTACGTCTATCATCACAAACTGTCTAACTTATAATAACTGATGGAAGAATCATTCCTATCTTTTATACTGCAATTTCATACTCAGGATATCACAGAAATATGAGTATATGCGTGAGCTTTAAAGACGCTTTCCAGGATTATAAAACTTTCTAGACTGTGAATATGGGAAGCCCTCAGACTATGTCTGGGTAGAACAATCCGTTTTATCAGTAACATATTTACCTTGGTGCTGAACAGAGTCACGTAACCACTATTGATAATTCGGCACTAGCTATGTTTGCTTAACAAAAAAGAACTACATGTAACATTGTTTGATAAAGATGAACAGAAAATTTTATTGTTTGTAATTTGATTTAACGTATACTCATGCCAGTCGGGAGGATTAGAAGATGAACAGGGGGGATGTTAAGATTACTTTGACCCATGTGGAATATAGTCATTTGCATACATTTGCCCCATCTATGGAATGAGTCACCTTAACTACCACAACCATTATGTAAACAACTCATACCTGTTGGACATATCAAAAAGAAGTGCAGTTGGAGTATATTGAATTGAAAAAAATTTACAGGTCAGTTTTATGAATGAGTGCACATTAATTGAGTGCTGGTATTTTTTTTTTTAGCAATGCATCTCAAAATTATGTTAGTAATCTCTTGAACAGAAAGAAAATAATAATAGACAAGACGTTTTACAAGACAAAATTATTGTTAAAAAAAAACTTTATTAATTTGTAAGAATATTGATTTTCTATATATTGTGGACGTTAGCCGTTCAGAAGAACGTTACCAAGTCTAGCCACGAGGAGGCCTCCACTTTGTAGACTCACCCCCAGACCCCAACGCTGAAAAAAAAAGAACATTAGTTTCAATAATATTAAAAGTTACCAACATAAAAGATGACACCACGGGAGAGATCAACACATCTGATAAAAACCAAAACGACAGGAATGACCGACACCAGAGATACTAGCCTATGTTAGTTTTAATAATATGAAAGATTACCAAAAACTCCAAGACGAAAGACGACACCACGGGAGAGTTCAACACATCAGAAAAAAACCAAAGACCAAACTATTGATACTAGCAAATGTTAGTCGACTTGCGAAACTATTAAAATTAAACGTGCGTTGATATATACCCATAAAAAAAATAGAAAAAATTAAAGAAAAGAAAAAGATGAAAAAAATTTTTTTTTCTCATTTTAAAATCCAAGCCAGGGTGTGACTTTCTTAAAAAAAATTTCGATGACATTCTTTTCTGAAAACGGAAAAAAAATGAAGAAACGTCATTAAAACACAAGAGAGTTCTACAATATAGAAAATACGAATTATATGAAAACGATAGGTGGTTTTAATCTATTTTGACCGGTAATAAGGATTAATTTAATGCCACTATTTATTAAGCGTATCATCTTTGCCAAAGATCACACCGGTTTTTCGGGATGAGACCTTTTTAGGGGAATGCCAAATCCCTACGGTCGCCTCTGTAAACCTTGTTTTACCTTTGTTTTTTCCCTTTTTGTGTTGTATATTGGCCTTTGCCTTTCAGTTAAAGTTACCAGGAGGGAACAACGCATGCTTCTTTCTTTGAAATTAGATTTTCATACATGGATGTAATCGTTTCAAGAGTGGTTTTTAAAGAACTCTAAATGTCATAAACTCATTTCATCATGTCTTGTCATTATTCCTTGTGAAAGCATTCCCCTATAATTATATTTGGACCATCTTGCATGACATAGATCTCTCTGTGAAACTATTTCAAAATATGTCTCCTAAATCTTGTCTGACTCAATCTTTCTAATGCTTTTCTGATGATATGTAACTTGCGGTTGAAGACTAGGTTTTCTGCTTTGACCAAAGCCAAATACTTTCGGAATCATTTAACTAATCAATGTCAACGTAATCCAACCTGCGCTTACTCGTCAAATGTTCAAAACTCTTATAAGTTGATAATACCTGTCAATATGACTAGCTTTGTCTTAATCTATCATATGAACAGGATGTTATTTCCTTTTGTGCGATATCTAGTATCAAAGAATGTCAGTTTTTTTCTAAAAAAAGCAATTATGTATCTTGTCCTAACCCGCTCCCGCTCTTGTTAATTGATCTCTTATTTTTATTCAAACCTTCCATGTGCCCCGAGAAATCATCTGATATATTAATCTCATACGTCTCTTCTGTATGTGACACTAATTCCGAAAGACGTTTTCACCAGGTCTTCTTTTTATTCCATAAGGACAAGTAAATGATATTTATGCGTACTGTTAAATTCCGAAACCTTACTCCTATTGCATCGTCTGATTATTTGAATCACCCTTTTCCAACATCTATGGGTATTCATAAATTTGGAATCGACTAATTATAAACTGGGTGTACCATGTTATAAACCAAAATTCTATAAAAAATACAGACGTCCATGTACGTTTGCCAACAACAGTGACGAAAAACTGGTAATGAGACCTCCCATCAAAGTGATTCATTCCTACAATCTTGCAATGGAGTTTTCAACCAGCCATGTCTAACTATTGTGAATGGTTCCGAATCAACTTTTTAAATTATTTGACTAGTTTTAAGACCTTTTTCGATATCAGCAAACCGCTTAGTTGTTACCATCATGGGAATGTTCATAACTGTTACAATGAGAGATGATTCGGGAATCTTGTTATGTACGAAGTCTCTGACAAGCTTCTATTTAATGTCCGTATTATTGGGTAAGGAAATCTTGGTGTTGGTAGATACATTTTGACGTTAAAGAAGAGTATGATTAAGGTTTTGCAGACTAAAAGAGCTTGACCCTTTTTCTTAGTTTGGTATTTTTTTTATACTACAAAAATCCAAGCCACACTTTACTCAAAACAAAATTGAAAAATCAAGCAATTTGTAGTAGCGAGGTATGCAAACTTAAAATTGTCCAAGGGAACGTTTCATGTGCTTGGTCTCTTCAACACTAAAATTCTGGCCAACAACATTCTATTGTTCCAAGGTTTTTCTAAGTGATAACTTGCTGGATAAGACTAATTTTGAAGGTTATTACGTTGACATCTGTGTCGTATTTGGGTACGATTTGCTTAAGAATAAATAAACAAATCTTTCAATTAATTAAATTATGAAACAAAAAAGAACCTTCAATGTTGTATACCGGCATACACATGTATACTGCTATACAACTTCTCCTACTACGAGTACATATTTCTATATTAGAGGTTACATGATTGGCCTAAATATGATATACGAATGACAGTTGGATACAAAAAGCTATACCGCTGAGTTACGATATCACCGATCGAGAAGAGAAAATTCTCTGATCAATCAAGAATTAAAAGAAAGAGAAATTTAATGGTAATAGTTCTCTCAATGGCTTAGCTACCCATAGAGAGAATAGAACAGCTATTAGTATAATTAGTTCATTTACTTATATATTGATATAATTATACTGCTGATAAAGAGTATAAAGAAATAGTGTATGAATTAATGGATACCTATCTTCTACAACCGAATATACAAAATTCGATAAGATATTTTATATTTGGGATCGTATTTTATGCATTAGAAAATTAATGCACAAATGATCAATTATAACTATTATGTTCTACTGCCGATTACACTTGACAAACAAGTATGTATCTTTTAAAAGTATCCGTTACACGATCTTACAAGAAGTGTGCCACTGTACCAAGTATTTGTCAGAATAGTGGTATTCCCGTTTCACATCTGGGACAGCTTTACCTTTAATCAATTCTAACGAGTAGAGTTCAGATAACACAAGATGATAGACTAAGTTATAGATTTGTTCGAAACCCAGAAAGGTTGAGTCATCATAAATCCAGGAGATGTTGACAATATAAAAAAGATTGATTATTTCATATCAGCAAAGTTCTTTAGTCTATTTTTACCCTAATAAAAATATTCATTTATATCATTATTTTTTACGTGCCATTTTATCAAATATCACAATCATGACAAACACTCCAACTTATAATAAAGGATTATGGAGTCTCATTTCTTTACTTGCTTTTTTTTCCGTTTACATTTTTCTTTTTTATAACAATTATCACAAACGGTATTAATATCATCTGTTAAGCTAAAGTTATTATTCCTTTTTGTAACAAAAAAATTAAAAAAAAACCCAAGTAGAAGAACCACGAAGGGGAATATAAGTTTGGCCAAAATCGTTGGGGTCAATTTGTTCTAGTTTAATTTGAAAGATTGGAAACAGCCGTATTTTATATTCAGAATTTTAAAATGTCGCAAAGCCCTTACCCGCATTCGTATACCGAAATATTACGTGACTTCACTCCCACTACCTCCAATAATAATAAATTGTTAAACTAAAAAAAAAACCCAAGATCACCTCTTTTAGTATAATGTATCTTGGCTCAGGACAAAATTGAACGAAACGTAGATCAACAGTACACGGGAGATAATTCAGCATTGGTCATCAATGCTTAATGTTACGCAGTCAATGCCTGTGAAAACGAGCAATCACTAGAATATTTTTCCAATAAAACCCTTAAAACTTGAAGGTGATTGTTTGATAAAAGAAAAATGTCACCCTGTCTTCTTTTATTTGATTATATTTGACTAGTTTAACATCGTATAAAAAAATGACGAAGGAAAATATTCCGGAACGGTAATTATCGCTGATTCCCAACGTAAAAGTAAAATATTGTTCTTGGATGACTTTGTTCATTTCTTAAAACTATGAACTTCACTCGAATGCTCTTTTATACGACAGCTAACATTTCGTATCTTTTTCCTATAACAATGGGGAAGGCAACCAGGTGCAAAACAAAACATCTCAGTACATAAAAATAAACAGTCGACTTAACTCCGTATATAATCAATTATCATTCCAATATGTGTCACTTTTTGAAAGTCGGATTTCGACAATAATATTCGCTTTTTTGTTTGAAGAAAAGAACAGATGAAGCAAAGTTTAGTTTATTTCTTCGTTCAAATTGTCCAAATATTCTATACGAAAAAAACGTTCCACATTAAAATAATGCAAATACCTAAATAACTTATTTGTTTACACTTACCATCTGGTTCCAAAGCTAATTGAGCGAAAAACGCTTCGTCTGGATCAGCATACTTCACCGACGTGGATTCATCTCCACCAACAGAAGCAACAGGCAGAGGGAAAGGGGCAGAGGCAGACGACACACCCGGAGACACAGAAAAAGCAGCAACAGCAGGTTTTAGAGCCGAAGATCCATCAGAAGAAGAATCAACAGCAACAGGATCAACCTCAGCCAGGTCACACACCACAGGATCAACACAAGGAGAGAAGACAGACTCAACAACCGACGGTTTACCAGTAAAAGAACCAACAGCGACAGGTTCAATCTCCATTGGGTCACCAAACAAGGGACCGACAGAGGAAGGAGTGGACACAGAGTCTGACTCCAACGCGCTACCAACAAACACACCATCAGAATTGGTCTCCGCAGAGAAAGGTTCAACAACAACAGGACCAACACACAAAGGAGAACAGACAAAGACCGAAGATTGCACTGTGTCAACAGACAATACCACAGGGGTTACAGGGGCAGGCGTACCAGTGATATCTATAGGATTATCGATATCCATGGGGTTATCGATATCCATGGCATCGTCGACGATAGCCCCAGAGGGAACCAAATAACTATGACGACGTGCGCATTTGATACGCAGAGGTCTACATTCACCATGTCCGAAACGAATTCGACCACGAACCAGAGCACGAGCTCGACGAGCAAAGGACTTGGTGGTACGATCAATGGTGTTGGTACTCGGGGCATTGATGGTGGTGGTCGTATTGGTGGTGGCGGTGATATTGGTCGTGACTTTCATATTGGTGGTGGTGGTGACATTTGCGCTATCAATATCAGCGTAGTTGCCAATATCAGCATCGGGGCAATTGATGGCGGTTGCAGTGACGACAGCGACATCAGCAGAAGAATAGACATCAGCAGCGGTATTCGTGGTTTTGTTTTCTACTGCGGCTGGGATAGCAACATTGGTGGTAGTGCTACGTACCTCCACCGAGCGGGAACAATTGTTTTTGCTGATGATGTCGGTGGTGCTCATTGTCATCAAACCAGAAGGCAGCACACCCGGGGACACTACGCTAGAGACCATGGTGGTCCACCGTTCAACAGCGAAGGCCAGCATAGCCGGAGTAACTGAAGTAGAAAACTCGACAACATCAGGCAACACGGCCAAGGGAACCACCACGGGAGGAAGCATCACAAGAGGAGCTAAGGTCGGAGGACCCACGACGGAAGGTGTCACACCAGAAGATGCCACAGCAGAAGAAGCCACGGAACAAGGAATCACGGCGGAGGATGCCGCAACAGAAGAGGCCACAACAACAGGACCCACGACAGAAGGAGCTACATACAAAGGTCGCACGTTAGAAGAAGTCACAGCAGAGGAAGACACAGCAGAGGAAGCCACGGCAGAAGAAGCACCAGCAGAAGAAGTCACAAAAGATGAAGCCAGAGCAGATGAAGCACCAGCAGAAGAAGCGACGGCAGATGAAGCCACAGAAGATGACGCCACAGCAGTAGAAGCAACAGCAGAAGAAGCTACAGCAGAAGAAGCTACAGCAGAAGAAGCTACAGCAGAAGAAGCTACAGCAGAAGAGGCCACAGCAGAAGAGGCCACAGCAGAGGAAGCCACAGCAGAAGCACCCCGAACAGACGAAACCGCATCAGAATGTCTGACAGCAGTACAAGGCACGACAGAAGAAACCGGGGACGAAGATGTCACTACAGCTGACTTAACATCACGAAAAAGGATGTTGATAGCCAAACGGACCAAAAAACCAAGGAATGACCACAACATGCCTACCAACAACAATACGCTAGAAGAAAAAAATAAAGACAGTTAGAACAGAGACATTTCGACCTATCTAAAAATAATTACCACAACGACGGAAATAAAAATGCACGAAACTTAATTGCCAGAAGAAAAAGAAAAGAAATTAGTCTTTGATGGAGATTCCTAATGTCAAGTCATGTTACCAAAAGCCTTAAGAGCAGAGGAAAAAGTGGCGAAGTTCTGTGAACATGAAATTCCGATAAGAAAGATTTAGAAAAAATATACTATTATGAAAAGATAACAAAAACTTACAAAAAAGCAATCGACGCGACAAAGTAAATCATTTTTAAAATATAACTACTTTGAAAGAGAAAAAAAAAGTCGGCGCAGTTCTGCAGACAGAGTTATAAAATATTTTTACGGTAGTCACTTTTAGTGCGTTTTGAATTTCTTTTTGTGGCACGTAAAAAAGTGTGGAA